ACACTTATTCACATGTTATTCATATATTTTTCCTCTTTAAAAAAGAGACTAATAAACTCTTTAACACACACACATTCACAAAGGGATGAGAGACACCAATATTTAATCTTCAAGTTCCCAGGTTTTGAAGAATGTTCTTAAAAAACACATTCAGCCTTTCACTTCCTGCCTTCTTCATAATTCAGTTTTATAACAGTGAATGAGGAGAATCAGTCTGTAAACTGCTTGTACATCAGTTAATTAAGTTTCCCTGGCATGCCTGTAAGTCAGAATGCAGTGTATCAGTAGCTGTGCTAAAACATGATCTAGTATTACGAAATTTTCAATTCATGTACAGAATGACAAAGCTGTGCATTATTTCAGGAGTTTTTTTTCTTTTTCTTGTTGGATCATGCTTCTATAAATCAGCCTTAGACCAAGGGTATTGTTAGACAAATGGCTTACATTAAACAAACTGTCTTTTCTATGAAGAAACAGGAGATCTCCAAAGCAACAAGGAAAGACAGTCAGGGGATCTAAGCCCCAGGTCTGTAAAAGGACTTCCAGAATTTCAATACCAAGCCAGTAAGATTAGATGTACATATAAAAAAATAAATACAGCTTGAACTTTTCACCTATGTGCTATTAAAGGCAAAGCCACAGAGATTCAGACTGATGTAGATCTCCAGAAGGCCAGGCAGAAGCTCTCTCTCGTTTGAAGTGTCCAGTGACATGTACCTGGGTAGGGGTGTTCTCAACCACATCCTGATTGTCAGGAAATAAACACACAGTCAGCCTAGACACAGAATCTCAGCTTTCTCTTAGCTCAGATCAGGGTGCTGAAGTCAGAAGAAACCAAAGGAAATACAGGTCTTTTGAAATTAGTTCATTCACATAAGCAGTTCACAGTGGGACACCAAGAAGGGATTGGTGCAATACCTCCATCTGGTCAAGAACAGGAAGAAAGAATTAATAAGTCTTTTCAGCGGGTACACAGACTCTTGCAACAAATCTCTTTTGCAATAGCCTAATAAACACTGAATCACAGAAAAGCCTACCATTTACAAGACAAAAGATAACCAAGGCATTTGGAAAGTGCAGATGAGGTCACTAGTCCTCCCACTGTCCTTCAGTCTTTAAATATCCTTGTGTTAGGTAAGTGTAATTACAAAGTATAAGCAAAATGGAATCTGTATTTTGTCTGTCTCCTGTTTACTGCAGCGCTACAAATAAAGTTACTCTGATTTTTTAGTATTCTCATAGTAGATAGGACACTGAAGACCAGTAAACAAAGTTATATTTAATGACTATTCAAGCCACTAGAATGGTGATCAAGCCTCAGGCTCTATAAGCAAAACCAGGCTCTTCAACATCTCAAATTACCCACAAAGATAGCACTAAAAAGTCAGAAACTGCACTTCTGCCAGATCAGGACATCAGAGCAAAACAAGTAATTTTGCAGTGATCCTAATTCATCACCTGCAAGTACTGTGCAGCTTCTATTAAAATCCAGGCACTCAGCACGTTTCCAGGCTATTTTTCTTACAAGTTACTGTGATAAAACTGGCATGTTTATTTTTTGCTATGGACTTCAAGAGTAGCTAAGCATCTTACAATCTATAGAAGTCATGAGTAAGGCCAAGAGTGCTTGTATTATTGATGCAACTGAAGCACCCTACACTGTCTTTAAGACAACAACTTTCAGCCAAATATGTATCTCACCGAGGTGGTTGTATGTAGCTAGAAAATCTGATGTAAACACTTCCCATGTAAGCATTGGAGGTGATCAGTTTTTAAGGTTTAAAACAACCTGTTGATTTAGCTGTTACTAGAAGCATTTGTCCAAGATCTAAGGCAGAAAACTGGGCTTCCTCTAACAAATTTGACCTTCTAGAGTGGAAGATGAGCTGTTCTTAATATTTAAAATCTGGGAGAAAAATTCCACGATCTCTTTTGCTAAAGAACATCCATGTGATAAACCCAAAATAACCCTGGTATTAGAAGTACTGGTGCCAATGTGGGTCATTTTGACAGAACTTGGCTAGGAACCAAGTGCCAGCAAGCTCAGTTCCAACTCCTGGTGGCAAGGTTGTAATGAGTAGTTAGGCACAGTAAACTTCTAATCTAGCAGAACTACAGCCACACTCTAACCATAGCCTTAGAGCTGAGCTCTTAATCCTCTTATTACACTGAGCTATTTGTCTGTGTAGCTTTCTTCTGCTAGAGCAAAACACAAATTTGTTACTTTCAAACTGAATTTCAACACTGCATTTCTGTATTTTGTGATAGTATTTGTTTTTTATACATCAACCTAGGAAGGGCTACAAACTATGTATTTCATTTTCAATGCATAGTTTCTCTTTAACTCTTGGTGAACTTTCTTTTTGAGAGGTTATGCTCATCTCTCACGGGCATACAAACAACTTCCATGTTGACATCTACCATTTTTACATAACTTGATCACAACAGCTTGAAAGAGAAGCAATATAACAAAGTATCCAAAGCACAATCATAGGGTATCTGAAATTAACAACTCTAAACAATGACTTAACCTGGTAAGGGTGAACATCATGGAGAAATGCAACAGAAAGATTTTCTACTTACCTAGCAAGGTACATTTCAAGCCCACAGCATCCCTTCTGCAAGTCCTATTCCCAAAAACATATGGGTTTATGTGCCTTTAATGGGAATGTGGCAGACTCCCAGCAGAACAAAATTAAATCACAATCAGCCTTTCTTCCTAGCACCAAATTAAACTCCATAACCTTTCCTTGTGACTGGTTTAGTCACCAACATAGAAGTCAAAGTTAGCAAAGATATTGTTTAGACTTTGCCTGAATGGCTGCTTTGTTAGATAAAGCCTGTCAAATTGTAATTGGTTTGAGAAAAGTTGATAAGGTTTTTTTTGCTCAAGTTAAAAAAAAAACAAAACACAAATATAGTCTTCTGTTAGTAATATGTTTAAGTGTACTTTCTTTCAAGCATTTCTCCCCACACCCATTTTGTTCACATCCACTGAAATTTTTTTCCACTCTATAAACTGTCAAGCAAATTTAAGTATAGCACATAATTAAAATGATTGTGTAGGGGGTAAAAGCCAGGAACTTTTCTGTTAATTTTGCTAAATTAATAGCAAGCATAATTTTAATGCATTTTGTATCCTATTCTTGATTTAACTAAATTTGTATTTGGGTGACAAGTGGGTGACTATGGGACAGCATGATGTATGGTATGAAATAGTGTGTAGATTGAGAACTGTCAAGGTTGCCATTTGTGTGCTGCACTACCAATCCAGCATTTTAACAGGGATGGTTATTTGTATCTGCCAGGATAAGCCTGGAACACAGGCTTTTGGAAGGGAAAGGAGTAAAGGGCAGTGGTAAGGCTAATGGCATTTCAAGCCACAGCTACCCAGGAAATGATCCATGTCATTGCCCATTCCTGTAGTTTTACTACTATGATCCAAGAACAATTCAACAAAAAAAAGTTAGTACCCTGAGATAATTTGGCAAATGGTTTTCTGCCTATGCCAGCTATTGTTCCAATAACAGACAACCTGCAGAGGCTCTGTCTGCTTAGCTGAAATGGAAAAAGCTCTAGAGAAGAACAATTATTGAAAATGTGATTAATTTACAGCTTCTCATGTGTAGTAAGAGATAGACTACAGACCCAAAAGGTTTATGGGATATGCATGAAAGTCAATTCACCTGGGAGATGACAGGTGAAGAAAGATGACTAAAGACCTACCAAGCCAGATGAGCAATGCCCTAGATGCTAAATAGGGAGACAGTGAAATTCACAAGAATTCTGAATTGTAGCCATTTGACTCACATGGAAACCATCAGAGTTGTGTTCTTGCTGAACCAGGGGAAGCCCTAGGTAAGCACATTACAGATGACTCAGAGGAGTTGGCTCTGGACTGAGGCAATTTCTAAACGGCAGAGATGCCAAAGACAACCCTATCATCAAACGCCATAGGTTAAGCTTTGGATGAAATACAGAATAAACAGGAAAAACTATATTTCCACTTTAATTAAGATGGTATTCAGGCTCACTAATTAGTTAATTTTTAGTAATTTCCTTTAACTCTTGCTATTAAACCATTCAGCTCATTAAGAACCACAGAACATCACAGATATCTAAATGACTGCCTAAAAGCTGCAAGCAGTTCATTAGGTGCCTACAATCAAGCTTTTCTCCCAAAGGAAGAAGGCATCAGTAACTACCCTTCCATTAATCCAGGGTTCTCTTTCTCTGTCAAAACAGCAGCAAATTACTCACATGCTAAAATCCACTGAGAGTTTACCCTACCCAGGACAGCATCTCCTCTATGTGCATCAAAGGACTGTTACACAAAGAAGCCAAACATAGCTTTTTTCAGAAATGCTGACTCTGTTAAATATTACCAAAGCTCTATGGCATCTTTATGCTATTACTAAAGAAAACAGTGTCTTGAACCAAGAAACACATGGCTGTTATTGTGAAATCCTAATCACTATGTCCTTAATACTACCAGGCAGGTCATCACTTAGGGAAAGTGACAATGTCCCTGTGAACATATTTTTTCCTTATCTGATCATATGCCTTAACCATCCTGTGATTGCTTCATGCTACGCCCTGCAATTATTATCTGGTATTCTCTACCTGCTTTTGTATGCCCAAATTTCATAATATATTAATTACTTCATGTCACTGTATAAATAGAGCACCCAATCAAAATTAATGACCTATGGAATACTTTTTGCTATCCCAAGTAAACATGGATGGTTTGCAATTTTAATAACTATAAAAACAAATATATGCAGCTCACAAAATGACCAATTTTTTAAAGAAGATCTAGGTAGTTATGCTTCAAAATTCAGAGGTAATGAAAGCTTATAGAGACCATCTTCCCATTAGTCAGAAAATTCATGAACATAAATAGGGCTTCATAACCACAAAGGTGAGTCAAACTCCTTAAACAACACTAAATCAAGCTGAGTGGATAAAGAAGGGAAATGAAGAATGACCAAAGTCTAGTATTTAATTTAAAAAAAGGTTTTTAATATAAATCTGAATACAAAAATAACCAAAACACCCTACAGTCATCACAAACAAATCTCCAAGGTTTTCTCCTGTTAGTTCCCTGACAGTTTGGCAAGGGCTTGTTTTCTCTGTTGTGCAGTCATATGCTCACAGGCTTCCAAAATATTTACTACAATTAAAGTCTGTTGAACTGTTTTTGCTTTTACCCATATTCTTCCATTCATTCCCAGCACCATCTCAAATGGGTACAATTGCGACAACTCTTGAATTATTTCACATTTGGGAGCCAAGAGCCTGTAAACAAGAGCAAAAACAAAAGGTCAGAGGAAAGGGTGCCCACACTTACAGACACATTATTATTGACCACTAGCTCTGGCAGTGCAGCTATTATGGGAGCTATTTAAGAAACACTGAAAGATTATAAAGTTGCATATACATCCAAAACAGCAATACAGTATCAGATTTTCAAGGCTCCTGTCATATAAAATATATGCACCTAAAAAAATTAAACCATTGTAAATTTAGATTTTTTTCTCATTAGATTCAGAAGCAACAGTTTAAAGTGAATTGCTACTTCTACAACCATTCTGAGTTAATAAATTCTAAAAATACACTGTTTGACCAAATGACATTTTTGAAATGTTATTTGACACCCCAGAGGTGTCATTCAAAACAGGACTTCCCTTCTACTTCAGGAAACAGTATTAAGAGCAATAAACAGATTACTTCATTTTTATTAGACAACACTATACTAAATACTGTAACATGTCTAGGATTAAATCAAGACTGAACAAGTATTCACAAAAGCTAAAATCATATCAGGATTTAGCAGTTTATTTGTAATATGCTGTTATTTTTTTACTTGCATACAGTGAAAATTTGGAAAACAGAATGGCTGCAAAAAGCTTTTGTATCAGTTCACACTGACTTCTGATAGGACCTATAAATCAGACAATGACAGGAATGAAAAAGCTGCTCTGCCAGATTGCTTATCCAAAGAATGAAAAAACAAAGAGCTCCACCCAAAAAGCACCAACAAAGTTTGACTATTGTTTATCCACATAATCTGGTATTCTTTGACAGTCAGTCACATAAAAATCCTGTATTTACATCAGCATAAGCAACTCCAAAGTTCATGATACATTTAAAAGCTTACGAAACAGTTCCTGGACTAATGTGTTAGTTTTAAACTAAAGATCCTACATTTTTTAAATCTGTATCTTTGTTTCAGTGTTATTTATTTTTCTTTGGAAGTTGGAAAATAATGTGTACTGATGTGCAAAGATCCCTTTTGTCAGGAAAAGCTGTCAGCAAACATACACCTCTACTACCCCATGACACACAAAACGGACAACAAGCATTGCCAAGTTTTAAACTCCAAGGCAATATGTACATACTTGAAACGCTATCCTGAATGTTTGACTTCCTCAGGTCACTACTTTTATTTTCCATACTGCCTTGGCAACCACATCGCTTATGTTAAACAGGTGATGCAACACCACACAAAAGAGCTTCTAAGTCTCTTAAGAGGAAAAATAAACTTTCCTTCTAGATCAATCCATACTCTATTCAGTAAATCTGGTTTCAGTGCGCTACAAGAATCACACAGGCTGATTTACCAAACTGCCCACACCCCTCAGAAGAAACAGCTGTGGGAATCTTACAGTGGCTACTTACATTTTTTAATACTTACTTTCTTATTAGACCTAAGGAAACTTTAAAGAGGAAGCCATCTTGTCCAATTATTCCCATGCCACTTGACTTTCCACTGCTGTCTATACAGACCATCTCTGGTTCCATGTCTTTATTTGCTACAACGAACTGGCCATAAATGAGATCTCCCACCTAAACAAAATAGGGTCAAAGAACAAAGGTATAATCTCTTATAATGATTTAGTAGGACAACAATAAAAAACATCACACAGGCCTATTTGTTTTTTCTTTACAGCTCCTTTTACATTCTGGTAATGGCATTTCATCTGTGTGCAGAAACTGTAGCATGCATGTGCTACCCAACCACTCATAGTAGTGTTGTTAAAAGAAGACACACAATTAACAGCTTCTACCAGCATCACATATTTTAAAACTTTAACCAGAGTGCCCTTTCAGATGCACCTTACTCATGAACTGCATCTGCTCCTGGCAGCACTATGAGCAAATTAAAACACGAGAGTGATGCACCCGGCCAGCTGAGTGAGAGCAGAGCCCGCCAGTTACAGAAAGAAACCCCAGAAAGGCGGCGGCCTAATGTTGCAAAATCCGAGGAGGACCAAGGTGAAACCATTACAACCAGACTTGCTCACCTCCTCTAACGCGGGCTTACGAAAACACTTCCCCTAAGAAAAGCTACTGAAACGCACCAGAGCCGCCACCAAAGGACGCAGCTGAAGCTCCACCGCCGGCTAGCAGGGCACCCACCTGCACGTTCGGCCTGTTCCTCTTGGTGGCGCCTTCGAAGGCCAGGTAGGACAGGGAGGCCGGCTCGCTGCCGCCCAC